CCAATCAGGCCTGTATGGTAGAGTGGCCAGACGGAAGCCACTCCTCAGTGAAAGGCACATGACAGCCCGCCTGGAGTTTGCCAAAAGGCACCTGAAGGACTCTCAGACCATGAGAAACAAAATTCTCTGGTCTGATGAAACAAAGATTGAACTCTTTGGCCTGAATGGCAAGCTTCATGTCTGGAGGAAACCAGGCAACGCTCATCACCTGGCCAATACCATCCCTACAGTGACGCATGGTGGTGGCAGCATCATGCTGTGGGGATGTTTTTCAGCGGCAAGAACTGGGAGACTAGTCAGGACCGAGGGAAAGATGAATGCAGCAATGTACAGAGTCATCCTTGATGAAAACCTGCTTCAGAGCGCTCTGGACCTCAGACTGGGCCGAAGGTACATCTTCCAACAGGACAACGACCCTAAGCACACAGCCAAGATAACAAAGGAGTGGCTATGGGACAACTCTGTGAATGTCCTTGAGTGGCCCAAGCCAGAGCCCAGACTTGAATCCGATTGAACATCTCTGGAGAGATCTGAAAATGGCTGTGCACCAACTCTCCCCATCCAACCTGATGGAGCTTGAGAGGTCCTGCAAAGAAGAATGGGAGAAACTGCCCAAAAACAAGTGTGCCAAGCTTGTAGCATCATACTCAAAAAGACTTGAGGCTGTAATTGGTGCCAAAGGTGCTTCAATAAAGTATTGAGCAAAGGCTGTGAATACTTATGTACATGAGATTTTTTTTCTTTTCTCTTTTTTAAATAGATTTGCAAAGATTTCAAACAAACTTCTTTCACGTTGTCATTAAGTGGTATTGTTTGTAGAATTTTGAGGAAAATAATAAATTTAATCCATTTTGGAATAAGGCTGTAACATAACAAAATGTGGAAAAAATGAAGCGCTGTGAATACTTTCCAGATGCACTGTATTTTAAATTCTAATAATATTTCGCAATATTACTGATTTTACTGTATTTTTGATCAAATAATTGCAGCCTTGTTGAGCAGAAGATACTTTTTTCAAAAATCTTAACTTAAATTATAACAAACTTTTGACCAGTATTGTGTATATATATATAGAAAGAGAGAGACTGATATTTATTAAATATTGTAATCAGATTTTGTAATTTTGAGCATTTTTTTTCTGTACAATGACACCAATATTTGACATCACTTCCACTGTACGTGTGTTGAGTGAACGTAATTTTGGGTATGTCAAATTCAGGTGGAAATCCAAAACTTGCACCAGGGGTTAATAAATGTTTTACCATGAATGACACCAATTCCTTACTGAAATTAAGCAAACATTCCCTTAAAAAGAATCACTGTATCACTAACATGGCATAGTGGTGGTAAAACTATGGTACTGTAATATATACTATGCTACTGAATGATTAACATATTTATATACCTTTATACATGTCAAGGCCATTATCATGATACTTTTTGTGTTCACTACTATCAAAAGGCATACGAAAATTCATCACAATCATTTAACACACAGGTGAAAAATGTACTCACAAGATATATTGTGCCTTGTTGTTCGCACCTTGTACAAATCCACATCTGCACGAGGAAAGCCTTCCACATCAACCAGAGGAGCGTCCATGCCTACACCTGCCTGCTGTGCAAACACACACACACACACACACCATATGAAGAAATGTCTTTAGAAGATATTATAATGCATAATATTAAGCCATAACATATCAGCACGTAACATGGCGATCAACTGGCTATAATACACTCTTACAAATCTATGGCCAAAACCCAGCCATCCAACTGAAAGGGCAGACCAACTACAGTCCAATCGAACGTCTGACTGTATAGAGTCAGATTTTATTTGATTTGTTTTATCTTTCCTAATAGATTTCTGAACAATCATCCAATAAAGTGAGTTTTAAATCAATTTTGCAGTGTGAGATGTCCAGAGTGGGCTTATATGGAACACGGGTCAATGAAATGACGCAATTTTTTCCTATCTATTATTCAAAATTGATTGGTGGGAACAGGAGCTGATATAGAGAGGACTTTTATTTAATGTAAAAAGTATTTGAAAATTGAACAAAAAGATAAACGTACAAGACTGTGTGGAATACATAATCCCATAAAGCACTGGGGAAAATAATAAAATATATAGTCAAAATACACTCAAACTGCAACGCTGCGACATTTGAAACTTTGTGCACACACTGTATATTTATGTTTTCATTTGGGAAACATTTTGTAAAAGTATTACTTCACTTTATGCATGTTAATTAGCTTTTGTGCATGTGAATTACTTTTATCCTATAGAGAATGGGAATGTGTCGTCACAGCGGCAATGCATTCTGGGAATTTAGGTCACGGGAGCTATAGCGGAGACTGGATAATATAGCGAATGTAGACGATTGATGATTTAACGTTTATATTATTCTACTTAAGATCGCGTTGGAGTGGTTAAGGCTCACTTTACATCATTTGCCATAGCCCTTTGCACGGCCGGTGTGAAAAACGTGCTTTTTTCAGCGTTAGAAAGCTGAAAGAGCAGAGGTATTTCCTGCAGACATTGATAAGGGCTATGCCATAGCCCTTAATTATCAATGTCTGCATGAAATATCTCTGCTTTTGATGAACGCTATGTTGATACAGTAAGCGTTAATCATTCCAACGTGATCTTAAGTTGAATCATATAAACATAAAATAATATAAAATGTTTACATTCACTACAGAACTCGGATGAAAGTTAAACTGAAACTCTGTATGGGAACAAGGATAAATGATCCACTGTTTGAGATCCAGCTATGTATTCTCCCCTTTAAAAAAATAGCCATGGTTCTGCTGCTCTGACCAGTGTTTTAGCAGTTAGCATATATCAGTACCACTGTAGTAAAGGAGACTGAATAATGAATATCTGCAGCCTCTCAGACAAACCACAGCGCAATTTTTTTTTATTTAAAGAGATTTACATATTAGTCCGTTTTATTCTAAGAGTATGTAAGATGGTTTTCAAAAAAAATATTAATAGTAAACTTTATGCTTTTTCTGTGGTGATTTGCGTGTGTTTACACTGTGTGCTCCTGAGCCTGACCAAAAACATAGCGGAATCCAACGCGGCGTGACGTAGATTCCCATTCTCTGTATATCCTTATATATTGATCATTTTGACGCTAATCTGACTCCATACAAATCAGTTGGTTGGAGATGCCGTATTTCACTGTTGTAGTGAACCATGTAATAAAATCAAACTGTATGGCACGTTAAATGTCATTTATATGTAAGTCGCCATCACGTTGCGTCTTGTTTATTGCATGTCGAGACAGATGAACGGTCAAACGGGCTACTCAAGGAACGATTCATTACCGCAATTTACGCGCGCCAAAGCCGTATTTGGCCGTTACATCAAGTTAAAAAGCGGTTAAACTTTTAAAACCGTTGAGTTCAAATCCACTCCATTCGATATGCTGCATCTAGCCGTTTATAACGCGTTCTGTGAGAACGACCTAACGTTAATTAGTGTCTCTTTGGGCTTAATGACAAAACATATTGAAATTCATAAATATTGGCTTGAACTTACGGTTTGGAGCATGTCGTGGTATGCTTTAATTTGCTCTTCAATGTCACCTTTTCTTTTTATTAGCAGTCGAACATCCTCTTCAGTAACACGTGGCTCAACAGCGTTGTTTTCTTCTGTCATTTTCATGACAAGTGCTGACAAAAAGCAACGGAACGGCTATTTTATTTCACTAAGTCTTCCAAATGGTCACTCCAAATGATTCAACAGAAGCATTACGGATCATATTTCTTCAGTTGATTCACTGCCGGGTTGCGAACGAGTTAAATTACTGCCATCTATGTGCTGGAGTGTGAATCTGACGTGCAAACAGTGTCACAACTCAATTTCAGGGTAAGTTGCTATTATTGAATGCTTGAAAAAACAGTAACAACAATTGTCAAATCATAACAATACAAGAACAATAACAATCCAGGGTCATTCAGTCTTTGAGTCCAGAGGAAGTGCTGTTTCATTCAGCAAAGCTAGTGTTCTTGTTGTTTTTAAGTTTGTAGAGAACTCAATTCAAAATACATTTTTATTTCAAGTTTGAATCTTAAAAAAATAAGGTTGCATGTAGAAAATGTACATTTATGAATATGTTATTTGGCTAACAGGAAAATAAGGTTTATGAAATAAGTATCACTTTTTTCACATTCATGCAAAAACTAAAATTATATTTCTATAAGTGAACTTCAAAATTAGGATTTACGGAACATTTGATAAAATCAAGAATGTCACACCAAAATGTTGTTGTGTACGAACATTCCAAAATAAATCGTCACCTTAGAATTATAAGGTTCTGCATTCCGAGCAGTTTCGAGATATTGAGTTTCAAAGTTTGTGCATGCCATATAGTGATATGGTCTCTTTCATACACCAGTCCCAAAATATACACAACTTAAAAAAAAAAAACTCCATGTGGGAATCCATGTGGCTCTGCATCAGCAACAACTGCAAACTTTTGGACTAACAGGAACTCCATGCTTAACTGACATCTCAGAATAATTACAGATTGAACCATTTTGATTGAAAAGTTTTGACACAAAGATAATGCAATTTTAAATTCAGTTTTCAAAGAAAAGAGGTTTGTGTTGTTTATACAGTAGATTCTTATTATTCCAGATTAGACATGAGTGAGTTGTAAAATTGTGTTTAAAAACTTGAACTATGAAAAAGGGATAATTTGATAGAGATTGTCATAATGCTATATTATATAAGAAACTTAAACCATGCACCTAGTTTGGAAAAAAATAACACTAGAGATCAGATTCCATATAGATGAGGGCATATTAATACAGCTCTTTATCCAATTTATTTTAAAGGTGTTGTTTAAAGTGGTAAAATCAAGAAAGTTTAAACAGCCTTTTAAATGGTGTTCATGTGTATAGATTTTCTATAAAACAAAATGAGTTTTATTTTTCCAAACAAAGTTGAGGAGCATTGTATTAATGTTTTTTAAGGATGGCAGTGTCAACATTCAAAGAGAGAGCAGCATATGTTAACCTTGACAAGCCTTCAGCTTTGGCTAGTAAGATTCTGCCCTTTAACAAGAGATCGCGCTGGAGCCACATACTCAGTTTTTTCTGTGCATTCTCAACTAGTGGATTACAATTTAAGGAGCATCTTTAGAATTCATTTTTTGTTATAATAAATAAGATACCTTACAAATAACTGACAAATTACATTCTTTGATGGACATCAGTTCAAAAGGTTCAAGAACAGGCCTGATGCTTTGGGGAATTGCTAGATATACTTTAGTGCTAAAGGAACTTGTTTAGCATCTTGCAAAACAGTGTGGTATCATCAGCCAACTGACTGATGAGTATCTGTTTGTCTGCAATAGAGATACCATGAAGTCCACTATTAGAAATATAAGAAGCGAATATCTGGGGAACTAGTCAAAATAAATAAGGGGATAATGGACACCCTTGTCTAATACCACACGAGGAGGGTAGAGTTCTCTATAACTCTATATAATACTTACTAGGTTGATTTGTTGCTAAATGACGCCAAAACTGCATAAGTGCATAGAATACACAATCAGATGACTCAAATCTCAGCAAAAAAAAATATGATTTTAAATATGTTAATTTAGATTTATTCATAAAAATAACACAAACACATAAAATAATATTTAAATATAATATATACTGTATAATTTATTTTTAAATGCAACACTGAATTATTGAACACTTACACATTTTTGAACAATTTAATTTGATGTATTTTCTTATTAGCTAGTAAACTAGTAAAACTACACATTCTTAACAATTACAGTTTTAAGCAGTGTAGCCTATTAGTAGATAGTTAGTGTGCTACACTCTAAGAAATGTCTAAAAATAGGGCACAATATACTGCAACATGAAGACATTTTTCATATTGATTTTTCACAGGTTTTAACCTGCATTTTAAATTGTGTTTTCGGGTTACAACTTAACAGATAATAATATATCCTGGCAGAATATTACTTTTCCATTGTTGTACATATTTTTTCTTACAGTGTACTTAACTGATCAGCAATCGCAGGTACAAGCTACTAACAGTGTGTATCATAAATGAACAATTAGTATTGATAAAAATGCAACTAGCAACTTAATTCACATGATATGTATATTGCTAGGCATCTTTGGTTTCCTCTTTTTGTGTAATTTGGATGGAAAATGCGTGCTTTTTTATTGTGCGAGTCACGTCAAAAGTTGCCAAATAAATCTTAAAAATAGATAAATATGTTGCTAGGTGCTTTTTGAAGAAAAAGTTGCTAGGGTAGCCTGAGAAGTTGCTAAATATAGCAACAAAATTGCTAAGTTGGCAAAAAAAAAAAAAAAAAAACGCTAGATAAATCTTAAAGGAAAATTTTTCATTTTTGTGTGAACTATCTCTTCAAAGCCAAAATTTAAGGCATGTAGTATGGAAGACCAAAACTGCAAAAATAATAAATAAATAAATAAATGATGAAATGGCAACAATAAATAAACTAAATAAAGAATCCAAATTGGTAAACTTTTTAAACAATTTAGAAGTGAATGTATTAATTTACAAATGTACTAATGTATTAGGCTATTCATTGAATTAGTAATAATAACTATAGTTTATTTATGGACCTGGAATTCCATAGGGACTCGTGTATCTTTTTGTAATCCATTTATTTACAAGAATTGTTCCAACAAAGCGATTCACTAGAATGAATCGGACTTTCGAAAGCTACTTATGAGAGAGAGAACAAACGAACCGACTCATTATAATGAATCGGACTTTTGGTCCGTTTAGGATGAACCGATTCACTAGAATGAATCAAACCTTCCAAAGATACAAATGAGAAAGGACCGTTTAGAACGGACCGATTTAACCGAATGAATCAAACTTTCCAAAGATAAATATGAGAAGACGACTGTTTAGAACGAATTGAGAATGTATCATATTTTCCAAAAATAACCATGAGAGAAAGAGGACCGTTTAGAACGAACCGATTCAACAGAATCAATCAGATTTACCACCGCTATCAACGACAGTGAGATTGTCATCTCCATTCCTTCACAGCAATACTTGAACTTTAATCATATCCATTTCATCCCTGTGTTATTGATTAACATGAACAAAAGCTTACAGCTACTAGATTTTGTTAGCGAACTGTAGCTAAGAAAAAAAAAGACTTTATAATCTTTATCCATGAATTGTTTAATGAATATCACTGCATTAAATACCTGACTGAAGACTGTTCTTATCAGCTAATAAGTATTTTATTCAAATTGAAAGAGAAATCGTTTTGATAGAGTTGTACAAGTTTTGCTTTAAACATATTAATGACAGCTTGAAGAAACTGGCACCATACGATTAGGTAAATTCAGTCAAATTAAAGCACTAACATTACTCCATTGAGGTGTGCTTATATTTGAGATACAGCAAATTTATACAGTCGCTACCATAATGGGCAACATTGTAACACTCTCATGTCTTGTATTAAATTGAATTTTATGAAGTAGTTTTTCCACAATGTTACTTCTAACACACATACATCTCCTCAAATTTGGCTGGCAGATTTATAGAAATCTGTGAATCGCGATGCAAAATGTAATAAATGTTTAACAAAAATGCAAACACATATTCCCCCCGGTTTCACAGACCAGGCTTAAGCCTAGACCCAGACTAAAATGTAAGTCTGAGCTTTTTCAACTGAAAGAAACTTGCACTGACTGATCTTAAAATATATCAGTGCCTTTGTTTTGTCTCAAGATGCACACCAGTAATGTTTTTTTCTAAGGCACTTTTATAAAAAATGCCTTAAATGTAACTAATTGAACGATGGCCTAATCCTGGCTTAGTCTAAGCCCTGTCTGTGAAACCAGGCCGATATGTATGTAGTACCTTTAAAAGAAAGCAACCCAAAAAAGTACCATATTTGTATTCAAAAGCAAATGCAGTTTTATATTAAAGATAGAAAAAAGCAAAGTAAATCACTGTCACACACAGCTTGTTAGTATCGCAAAGGAGAACTACATATACAGCATCTTCATATTTACATACAAGTTACAACCAATGAAAATTATAAATATATCTTAGTTAACTTACAGCAGTTACACATGACTGGAACAAAAACAAAATACAGAGCACTCTGTTAAATAACTGGCACCAACCCTACAAACAAATGAAGTGGTTATATAATTTAAAATGAATAAAATTAATGCATGTTTGCTCAGACTCTGTACACATTGTGAAAATCTGACATCTTTTCTGAAAAACAAGGAGGGGAGGAAGAGGAACTAATCATCTCCGCTTGCCTCGTCAGCCAACAATCTGAGCTGCCAAGACCAATAAACTACTGTGTGGCCTGAATGCGCCGTGTTTAGCAGCAAAAACCTAGTCCTGAACCCTGGAGAACTTCCTCCAAGGTGGTTTTGAGAACTCAAACACATGTGGGTTCATAACAATCCTCAAATAAACCGTATAGAAAATAAACCTGTACAAAACAAATCCGAAAGCATCATAAACATGTCCAAATATAGACTTAAAATCTCACAAAACACACGTCCAAGCCAAACTCGACCCAAAATAAAAAGAAACCGTTTTGCATTAAATGTCTATTTTAGAATATTTCGCACTTTTGCAAAGTGAGATTATTTTCATGAACATTAAATACTTTTCCACGTTGTTCTCAAGCTCATTCTTCTAAATAATAAATCTCATATTCAGTTCTAATGAATACAGTATTTTATTACCGTAATACAGTAAGTAAAATTATTTAAATCAGCATAAAGGCAATACAAAATACTTTACAATTCAAATGTATTACAGTAATGAGAAACTATTATTATTATTTGCATTACGGTAATAAGAAAAAATGGGCTTACTCCTACGAATCTCAACAAAACAGTGTCTTATTTCTTTTCATTTTGGGGTAAACATGACCTGGACATGATCCTGAGACGTTCACTCAGTCAGTCGCATTCACTTACACATTAGCATAGCCTTTTAATTTCATAAACGGCTAAATCATGTGCAAGTGCAAGGTGCTTTACAGACTCTAGCTGACTGTTGTTTGTTTTGGTTGCTATATTAACGCTGACCATATTTTAACATCAAAAAAGAAAAGCCAGAACCACGTACCATATTTATATACATATATATGACACTACCGGTCAAAATTTGGAATAATTAAGATTATTTAATGTTTTTGAAAGAAGTCTCTTATGCTCACCAAGTCTGCATTTACTACTACTACTATTTACTATTGGTGCTCAAGTATTAATAGTGATTATTATTATTATTAATGTTGAAAACAGTTGTGCTACTTAATTTTTTTTGTGGAAAACACTTTTTTTTTGTTGTTCAAGATTCGTTGATGAATAGAAAGTTCAAAAGAACAGCATTTATTTGAAAATAATTTTTTTGTTACAAATGTCTTTACTGTCACTTTTGATCAACTGAATGCAGAATAAATGCATTTCTTTTTTTTCCTTTTACCTCAAACATCTGAATGGCAGAAAATATTAAGCAGAAAATGTTTTCATCACTGATAATAATCAGAAATGTTTCTTGAGCAGCAAATCAGCATATTAGAATAATTTCTGAAGGATCATGTGACACTGAAGACTGGAAGCTTTGATCACAGGAATAAATTACATTTTACAATATATTACAATAGAAAGTAGTTCTTTAAAATTATAATAATATTTCACAATATTACTATTTTTACTGTATTTTTTGATCAAATAATTGCAGCCTTGGTGAGCACAAAAGACTTAAATTACATAAAAAAAATCTTAATTATTCCAAATATTTGACACCTGGTGTACATATATATTTAAAAACTGGCTTCATCTTTGACAAAATAACTGTAATACTCTTTAAAATGGACTGTAATTTATTAGAAATGTTCAGTGTAACTGAAAAAGCAGATTCTTCATGAGTGTGTGAATTCTGTCCTGTGGCACCATCACAAACGTGTGTGAACGAATCTTTCAACAGTCCTGATGCTTTTAAAACTACTTCAACAGACGAAAACGTTAAAAACCCAATCCAAAGTACAGAAAGTTCATAAATACATATCATCGTGGCAAGATGAGGGCTGGATGCTGACACGCCTCGCGAGAGCGTTTACTAAACCGACAGTCCGAGATAACATGCGCTCGCATTCGAAACAAAAAGCAGTTTACTTCAAAGAGTTTCTCTCGTATACAAAAAAGGCTCAAAATATCTGTCAGACTCTTTCTTTTTCCTTCAGACTCCAGCGAGCTTCGTCCTTCTCCGTAGTTTACAAAAAAGCTGTTGCGTAGTCCGAAAGGAGAGGAGAGGCGATCCAGATGAACGGAGCGAGATGATGAAGGGTTTGTGTGCATG